ACACACACATATATACACATTTATAAAATTGTCCAATCTCACGGACAAGAGCATGAAGACCCGCGGCTTTGGCCACACACACACACACACACACATATATATATATATATACACATTTATAAAATTGTCCAATCTCACGGACAAGAGCATGAAGACCCGCGGCTTTGGCCAAAAATGGTTAAGTCATGGGATTTTTCTCTATAAAATTCACAGTAGCCAAATTAAGCTAATCTCTCCTTAAATTAAACAAAAAACACCATTTAAAGCTATCAAAATGCTCCTATCTTCCAACATAATTTTCGAACAGCACAAGGGTAGCACTAAGTGGATTAAACTTCAACAAGCAGCAATTAAGTGGGTAATTCGGACTTAGAGGAGTGGCCATCATACCAGAATTTTTCCAACTGCAGAACCGGACCTGGCAGGGGGAAGAGGCCGGCGGCAATTTTGCAGTGGGACTCACGGAATTAACCCAAAATTGGAAGAACAAACCAGGTTAGGGTGAACCCAACATCAATCAAGGTTAAAGAGAGGAGTTTCAGGGCTAATTCTTACCGAAAAGACCCAGAATTTCACACCCACACACCCACAATAGCTTGCCGACGAGAAGGAAGAACAAAGCAGATCGGCAGTTTCCAGCTTTAGAGGGAGGGTTTTAAGTCCCACAGCTTGTTCTTGCACAACAAGGAGGGGAAAATATCCAAGCTTTGTCACCAATTTTCAAGGAGGAAGTCGGCAGCTGGGGACGGGCTTGTCGGGGAGAAAAAGAAGAAGAGTAGGTCGCGGTTCTGATGAGGAAGAAAAGAAAGAAAAAAAAGGAAAAGAAAAAGTAGCTGATCCTTATCTCATTTCCTTTCTTTTAAGTCCCTCAACTTTGGAGTTTTTAGCTATTAGCCCCAAAACGATATTTCTCCCAAAATAAGTCCCCTAACTTAAATGATAAAATTCCCGAAAATTTGGAATATTACAATACTTTACTCCATTACCTCGTTCCATATATGAACAAGCTTTTGAATGAGCTTAGGATTCATGTTTGTGGGCTTCTATTAAAAATTGGTTACTGTGCACTTTGTTTTCAGCTCATTTAATGCATGCTTAAATTTGATACTGCATGTTTGACCTGACAGTATTTTTATCCTATCATGAATCTCTGGCTCCCATTGAAGTTTTTGCTAAGAAAAAAGAAGAAGAAGCATGAAAATGTGTTAGAAATAATTATAAATATATTTTAGAATTAAATAAATAAAGGATGGGCCATACGCAAAACTGATTCCAATAATAATCTCAATGCTCTTGTGGAATGAATCCCTATGCAGCATAAGAATCTGGAAAATTCTCCTCTAACTGCACAACAATTTCTCACCTAATATCTTGTAGGATATTATCCCCATCATCAAGCACCAATGGAATTTTACTACCATCTGCTGGCATTTTCATTGGTTTTGCCTTTCCCCATCCCTTTCTTCGATAGGGTGCCAACTTTGTATCATCTGAATTGCTAGAACTATGAAAAGTAGTATCAATTGCAATCCCAAGAACTATATCAAGTGTAGCATCCTCCTTTGTTCGACATTGAGGATCGAACTAAGATGAACGTCTATTAGGTTGAGATGCATCAACTGTCTTTGTACATCGTGCACTGCAACAGTCCACTATAAAAATAATAATAAAAAAAAAGAAGTTCATTAGTAAATTAACTTAAAGACAATAGATTAAAATTAACATACCAAATAAAAGAAATATAATTACAAAAATACAAACAATCAAACATTACCAATTTATGATTAAAAAACAAAAATACAAGCAAAATAATTATATTATTTGATTAATATATAGTTAAAGTATTTAATTGATTAAAATTAGCATTTTAAATAAAATAAATATAATTATATAAATACAAACTAGAAAATATCAACCAAATAATAATAAAAAAACACAGAATACACATAATATAATTATAGCATTTAATAGATTAAGATTAATATGCAAAATAAAATAAATATAATTATAGCAATACAAAACATGCAAAATAAAATAAACATTATGATAGCAATACAAACTACCAAATATTAACAAAATTACACTTAAAAAACAAATAACATAAATAATATAGTTTTAGAAGTTCAAATAAGCAAATATAAACTTAATTTAATAACAAATAGTTTTGATGATAAATTCACTTACTTATCGCTACTATCATTTTTAGAAATATAAGCTTTCGTCTTTTCTTCATCAAATGTTTCAAAGTCTTCCCACCCCTCCTCATCATCCTCTTCTCCAATCTCTTCCCCACCATCAACTTCTACATGTACTTCAATAAGTTTTCCATCATAATGCTACACAAGTTCATAACTTATCTTATAAATATTTAATGGGTGAGGAATAGGAGGGTCATCGTCCTGATAATATCATACTAATCCTTCTTCGTGGCTAACCTCATTCTGTGGAGCCTTAATGATGCTCCTGACCCTAATTTTAAGGGTAGCAACCCATCTCTTTCTTTGATGATTAATAGATGGGTATGGAGTGTAATACACTTGCTTGGCTTGACTAGCTAGAATAAAACTCATAGGATCAAAGGTATCTTTTTCGATTAATGTCAACTAGTTGATGTTTTAGATCGATCCTAACCCCATTAGCTGAAGGAATCTCATACCAATCACATTTGAATAAAACAATTACCTGCCAATGGATTGATCCAAAGTACTCAATCTAAATGACTTCTTGAAGCACCCCATAGAAATCATGGTCTAATTCAATTCCAATGGATCACATAACACAGACATCATAATTCATTGTTCTCTTATTTTTACCATAGGTGGCAACGTGAAATCTAAATCCATTGACAATATATCCATTATAACATGAAATGATATTCTTTGAACCACTGGATATGCCTTTTATGTGCTCATGGACATTAATGAACTCATCACTTCTTACCTAAAACAAACATAGTTGGAAAAATAATGTTAGATGTCTTGAAGGGAAACAACATATGTTAAGAAATTGAATATTGTCATATGGAATCATACTCACGACTCATTCAAATTAGGAAACAAGATCTCTCTCTCGTTTTGCTTGAATTTGTTGGTATTCATATTCATGCATTATTCTCTCTCAAACAAACTATAAAATGTTATATAATTTTTCATTGTTACTATATTAATTTTATAGAAATTAAGATGATAAACAAATATGAGAAATTATAGAGTTACTCACTTGACCCATCCTCGCAATTCCTCACAATTCATTAACACATAATATGAAGTAGCTTTGTGCTCCTCTGCCGTCAAGCAATGTCTCATAATCTTGGAATCAATATGTTTTCCAACACATCTAAAGATGGATAGTCCACAATTTGCATCGAATCCACCAACAATATTCCTAGGGGCCAGTCACTTCTACTGTCAACTCCCTCATTGAAGTAATGTGAGATAAAGTTTGTGATCTCATATATTATGTAATTCTCACATATGGATGCTTCTGGCTATGCTTTGTTTTTGACCATCAACTTAAAACAATGCATTCGCCTAATTCACTAAGAATTACAATATAATTTCTCTACAAATAAGATATAGAAGTATATTCATATAGACATTAATAATAAATTAGTAATAGTTACCTCTCAAATGGAATCATCTGCCAGTATTGCATCGATCCATCTACATGTGCCTTGTACGCAAGGTGGATTGTAAGGTGTTCCGTAGAGTCAAAGAATAAAGGTGGAAAAATCCGCTCTAGTTGGCAAATGATTTCTACTATCTTCTCCTACCACATTGCCATGTCATTGGCCCAAATCACAGGAGCACACAAGGCCCTAAAAACCTCACTAATCTCAACAAGAGGCCCCAAAACTTGTTTCAATAGTAAAGCATGAAATGCAACTAGTAGAAGGCTCCGCATGAAAATGTGACAATTATGATTTTTCATATCGAACAATCGTGCCTCTTGCATATTCACATATCAAGATATGTTAGACGCAAACCCATTAGGGAATCTAAGTTCTTTTAACCACTAACATATTGATTTTCTTTGATCTCTACTTAGAACATAAATGGCCTTAGGTTTTTTACCCGAATCTGATCTTGTTTTGGGTATGTAGAGACTTTTCGTTTTATAATACAATTCTAGATCAAGTCTTGCATTTATTTCATCCTCTTGTCATTGGACCGTCCATTACCATATGTAAGATATTATCAAAAAAGTTTTTGTCACAATGCATGACATCTAAGTTGTGTTGAATCAAGTTTGTATGCCAATATGGTAATTCCCAAAAGATACCCTTTAACCTAGTTATGCATCTCACCAAATCCTTGAATTACTTGTTTTTGATGTGGCTTGCCAAATAGTATGTCAGGTAGCCATTGGATGCAATTGCGCACCTCATCACTAGATAATCTCTCTGGCATGGTTGTATTCTCTACACGCCCCTAGGTGAAGTCATTCTTATTTCTTCGAAATCGATAATCTTGTGGCAAAAATTGTCGGTGACAATAAAAACATGATGCCTTCCAACCATGTTCTAGCCAAAAGGCTTTTAAATTTTCCATGCAATATGGACAAGCTAATCTACCATGTGTGCTCCATCCAAACAACATTGCATACCAGGAAAGTCATTAATGGTCCACGTAATTGCAGCCCTCATTAGGAAGTATTGATGTCTAAAGCTATCATAAGTTTGGACCTAGAGTACCAAAGTTGTTTAAGATCATCAATTAGTGGCCATAGCATTACATCAATGTTCTTTCCAAGAATTTGGGGACCTTGGATAATCAATGAAAGGAATACATACTCTTCCTTCATGCACATTGCTGGAGGCAAATTGTAAATTGACATAAAGATTGGCCAACAAGAGTATGGAGATACAAATTGTCCGAAAGGCGTAAACCTATCAATGCATAGGCCTAGCCTAACATTCCTCAATTCATTAGCAAAGTTAGGATGGGTGCAATCAAAGTGTTTCCACTCATCTCGACATGCAACATGAACAATTTTTTCATTTCATTACAACAATTTAAATGCCAGATCATATGCTTGGCGATCTTCGTAGACATGTACAATCTTTGAAGTGGGTGTGTGAGCTTATAAATGCAAAGACACTTTTCAATTTGAGTGTCACTAATTGGGACTATGTGATGAAACGTAGTCTAATAGCATTCAAAAAAAAAATTATTGAGGGAAATTGTGGAAAGATTATTATAGTGCCAAGAAGATGTTCGGACGCCCCGGTCTTGGGTATAAGAAGTATGATATTTGTGTGAACAATTGTTTTTTGTATTATGAAGAATTCGAAAATCAATGCTATTTAGAGTACTCAATATGTGAAGAGCCATGATTTAAGTAGAGTGATGTTCATTTTGCTAAGCCCATAGTAACAAAGTCCTTGTGGTGTCTCCAAATTATTCCTAGACTTTAAAGATTGTACATGCCTAGGAAAATTGTCGAGCACATTGCTAGAGGCAGATTGTAAACTAACATAAAGACTGGCCAACAAGAGTATGGAGATGCAGATTGTCCAAAAGGTGTAAACCCATCGGTGTATAGGCCTAACCTGACATTCCTCGGTTCATTATTGAAGTTAGGATAAGTGCGATCAAAGTGTTTCTATGCATCTCCACATGCAGGATGAACAATTTTTTCATTTTCATTACAACAATTTAAATGCCAGATCATATGCTTAGTAATTTTCCTAGACATGTACAATCTCTAAAGTCTATGAATAATTGGGAGATACCACAAGGACTTTCTTGCTATGGGCTTAGCAGAATGAATATCACTCTACTTAAATCATGGCTCTCCACATACTAGGCACTCTAAATAGCATTGGCTTACGAATTCTTCATAATACAAAAAACAATTGTTCACACAAATATCATACTTCTTATATCCAAGATCGAGGCATCTCAACATCTTCTTGGCACTATAATAATCTTTCGGCAATTTCTCTTGATCAATTTTTTTGAATGTCATTAGACTACATTTCATCACATAGTCCCAATTAGTGACACTCATATTGAAAAGTGTCTTTGCATTTACAAGCTCACACACCCATTTTAAAATGGCGACACCATAAAAAAGAGGTATGTCAGCTACTTGCAAGAGACTAAAGAATTCTTTTGCATCTGCTCTTAGCTCCTTAAATATTGACTCACCACCACCAGATGCATCCTCAAAACCACAATAAGATTGCACTGCATCTTCTACAACTGTAGCATTATTTTCATTATTAAAAAAATTATGCCTTATCGCATCATGAAACATGTCTTTAAGCTAATTAACACTTGTAATATTATTCATGTTGGCAATCGCACTAATGACTCACCCACTTAGGGGCAACACCGTTGTTTGGGGGTGTGTTGGTGACGTAGGTTGATGAGTCAACAATGATGACGATGTGGAGGCTGACTAGGATGCCACCCGTGAATGATGAGGAGGGTCCTTTTGGCGACACCCGTTTCACATGCGAGAGGCTACGTGCCACTGGCCGTCTCGTTTCGCCCAGAGATGTTGGTTAGCAGCAAATTCCCCAGCAAAGTTTGAAGATGTAAGTTTTCTAGCCTAGCCAAGCCAAGAAAGAGAGCTGGCAATGACGACAGAGTTTCTAGATGTCTAGCGATGTTGGTCAACAGCAAATTCTCCAGCAAAGTCTAGAAGTAAAGTTTCTCCAGCGAAGTCCAGAAATAGAGTCTCTCTAGCGAAGTCCAAGGGCAGAATTTCTCCAGTGAAGTCCGAAAATAGAGCTTTTCCAGCAAAGTCCAGGAGTAGAGTTTCTCCAACAAAGACCAAGAGTAGAGTTTCTCCAGCAAAGTCTGGAAATAGAGCTTCTCTAGCAAAGACCGAAAATAAAATATCCCCAGCCAAGCCAGAAAGAGTGGAGTGATGATGGTGCTCCCAAGATAACAAGAATAATTGCACAACTACCAAAAAATAATGAAAATGAAATGTACAATGCTGTAGGAGCAGCAAGGATAGAAAATATGTAAATGATAAAAATTACAACTTGAGAAGCACATTTTACATAGTGTATTGTAGCACAATAACAAAGACAATGAATGTGCCCTCTATTATCTTGACAAATACTTCTACTCTATATTAAGCAACCCTCACATTGTAGATAAAAGGCACAATGGTCTCCCTCAAGCTTTAACAAGACAAAAGGAATGAACTTGAAAGTAGTGATGGGAGTAGGAAGAATGACTATCTTCGGGTCTTGTGAGTGGAGGGCTTGATCCCGTTTTTAATGCTAACTCTTCAACTTGAACCTTTGATGCTCATGAAGATAACCTAAAAAATGAATCTTCAGTATACTTTCTCCCAGCCATGATGTTCTGCAAGTTTGAAAATTGTTCAGCAGTGTTGGAAGTGTAGAAAATATGAAGAAAATGGTGATTTCTAGTTAATTTCAGTGTGTAGAGTGAGTGGGTGAGGATGAAGTATTTTTCAAAGGAAGAAAGGAAGTTTGGTACGTGAGAGGAAAACTGAAGTTGTAAAAAATCTAGCCTCTTCTTCTTAAAATATGAAGGAAAAATAATATATATATGTGCAGTGGCATTGTTGTAATTTCTGGGTTGATGGGTCAGATGTGCACAGTGGCCTAATGGGTAGATTTGGGTGAGTTGTTGAGTTCTGAGTGGTTTTGGGCATGGCTAACAGCTTTTTGGCTTTGATATTATGAATTACATAGTGGTTCTGATGAAGTTTCGCTGGTTCTAGCGATGGACTAGAAACTGTTTATTTATGGGAATTCCTCTGGCCATACGAAATTCCATTTTTGGGGAAGTGCTTGAGTGCAGCCGGCAAAATCAAGTTTGTCCAAGATTTTGGAAGATTCCCAAGGGTTGCCCAAGATATTGGTATATTTTCAAGGTTTGACCAAGATCTTGGTAGATTTTCCCAATGAAATCAGATCTTTTTCAACAATTCCCAAGGCTAGGGAACTTGTGCAGCCACCTTTGCATTGAATATGGCTGCAAGTTGTTGATGGTGACCAAAACAGCATCTTTGGTTGGTTTTGAACGAGATTCCAAGCTTCTAGTTGGCATCAAACAGTATAGTTTTAGGGATCAAGTCTACCTCCACGTCTTCACCACCCATCCCTTTATGGTGAAGTCGGGCAACATTGCCAGCACTAAGCTTCATTGGTGCGAATACCTCGCTTCGCCAAACAGGCAACGTTCACCTATCTATACCTGCTAAGCCACTACTCCCATAGTTTATCCCGAATATCCCTATGAGCTTGGATTCATGGGTTTTATTGATGACCTGCATAAAGGAATAGTGATCAATTGATGAAAATGGTGAAATTTAATAAATAAGGAAATAATAAAGGAAAGAGACTTCCTAATATATTTCTGGCAATGTAGCCATGTACTGCAGCATTAGATATCGTTGGGACTTCTTTTGTATTTCTGGCGATGCAGCTATGTACTGTAGCTATGTACTGCAGCATTAGATATTGTTGGGTCTAGCCATGTCAATGCACGTTGAAAGCATTTTATTTGGGTGCTTAGATCAAGGCGGGTCTTGGTGACGTGAAAACTACCTAAGTCCAAGTTTGACATTTTACAAAAACATCCATCAACAACCATTTTCTACTTATAATTTCTCCATGTCTATTCCAATTAAGGTACCCGTCCATGAAGTGATTCTTGGTAAGATGGGCCCTAACTTTAGGTTGATGGTGCCACTCTCTAGTCCAAGACTTAGTACATGGGCAACGAATCATATTTTAGCACAAAACATTGAATTTGTTTGTGAAAATGTAAAATCCAAGAAAATATCCACTCCAACATCAAATTGATTATTCCAACATCCTATTTTATTATGATGACAATACATCCAACTTTAGTTTCCTTTCATACTATGTAGTACGGTACAATTTAATAACATTTTAATAATACATAATAAATATGAGAATCATAAATAAAAATTTGAAATTATATAAATTACGTTAAAATGATTACTAATTTAAAAAACTGTAAATAAACCTCTTCTATAGTTTTGCATCATTCATTATTAGAATCATTTTTATACAATTATAAGATAGTTATATAACACAATTTTTCAATATAATTCAAATATAAAATATTATAAACTTAGTTCATTATAAATTACTCACTCAAAAAATAAATAAATGCAAGACAAATGCTTCTATTTTTATTCTATAATCTAAAATTATACTCCATTTTAATACAATTATAAAAATATTTTAGAATATAATTTTTCAAAATAATTCTAATATAAAATATATTTTATAATATTAATTTATTATAAATTGATTATACAAAATATATAAATACAATAAATTCTCCTCTAAACTTTTTTATAACACAATTTTACACCATTTTTTTTATAATTTTAAAACTATAATACAATATTATTTTTAAATATAATACTAATATAAAATATATTTTTTAATATTAACATTATATTAATATTACTAAATTATTATCAATTAATTACTTAAAATATAAGTATGAAACAAATTTTTATACATTTTTTATAATATGCAATTTTACACAATATTTACAATCAAATAATAAAATGATTCTATACAAAAAAAAATTAAAAATATCTAATAATATATTTTTAAATATTAATTTATTATAAATCACTTGTGTAAAAATAATTAAAATACCAATTTCTATTATTTTTCTCATACTATAAAATTTTACTCCAAAATTCACAATTAAACAACCAAATATATCTATGCAAACAATATTTATTTTACAATTTTATTTATTCAATATTAAATTTTATTAATTTCCTAACAACACAAAAAGAAAAGAAGATAAATTCAAAATAACCAAAAAAAAAAAAAACTCGTTTAGAGTGCCAATCGAAGATGAATGACGATGAGCATGACCTTATGTGCAAAAATTTATAAATTATTTATGTAAAAGTAAGTAAAATACAAATTTTTTTTATTTTTTCTACACCATAAAATTTTATATCATACTCAAAATTATACAAATTATATATCTACACAAACAACATCAATGTTACGATATTATTTAATCAATATTACATTTTATTAATTTCCTAAAAATATAGAAAGATTCA